TCCATTGCTGAAGGATCAACAGAATAATAGCAGGAAATATACAGTCCCTCTTATGTTTTGTCTCACCTTAAATCTATAAAACAGTTCCTTGGCCAAAGGTAGGATGGCTTCCTGAAGAATAATTTCTTTGTCAGAAGTAGAGATGATATCGGAAGTGCTTCCCTTTCTTTCCTTCTGTGGAATGGCATCCTTCTGTCTCGAGAGACTGTTACTGACCAAATCTGAATTCAGGTCAGACCAGTGCTGGGTTCGAGTTCTCCGGCAAGGACCACAGGCTAAGGCACAAGACAGCTGAACAAGCCAATTTTATTTAAGTATAAAAGTTCAGCTGGGCCTCCCATCTTAAAGGCAAAGGAAGACCCAGAACAAAGAGTGAGTCTATGTTTCATAATCGTTACAAAGAGCCACTACATTGCTATTGGTCATCTGTATCCCAACTTTTGGATCTCAGGCGTGATTGGACTTCAGGTGTTTCTGCAGTTGACCTATTAGTCAGTTGACCTATTAGTCATCTGTACCCCAACCTTGGATCTTGCTCTTCATTGGATCTGAGATGCTAACTTAGCCAGTCAGAAGTCAGAAGAAAATATCAATTTTATGGCCTGATGTCTGGGCCTGAAAGTCTGGGAACAATTCCCCTTATCGATATGTTTATGTTGCATTTCCTGGGCCCCAGTATATGGCCTTCAGGAACAGTAATTCTCCCTAGTGGTGTCAAAATATAGATGGTCATTTTCCTCCCTTACACATTCCGAAGTGGCCATCTGTCTCTTAAATTGCTGCTCCCTTGAAGGACGAAAAGTTGTTTTGTTATTGTAAGTAAAACCTAAATGTTATCTCATTGTGGTGTGATATCTTCCTATTGCTTGGGTCCTAGAGGTCAATGTAGACAATGTGTTCTGCAATGCAGGAATGTTACCTGAAATCTTCAAAGTGGTAAAATACGGATAGAGGCTCAATGCAGTGAGATACAGAATACAGTTGCATAGTCTATATAATTACTGACACGTATCAAGAAACCATGATTGAGATAGATACAGAGTATATTGGTTACAGAAGTTACAGAAGTCATGTAAAATATACAGAGAATGCTTTTCTAAGTGTGCGTAGCTAATAGTATGATATGTTAAGATGCAGATGCATCCTGTCCCCCTAGCAAGACTATGGTAATGTGCTCTGTATGGAGGATTTGGAGAATGTCCTCTCCAGAGCACGAAGCCTGGGTAAAATAAAATGGAGGATAGGCTGTTACCCAAGCAGCAAATCCCCCCTCTCCACATCACTGAAATAGTCCAATGAAGGTTTGAAATCGGAGTTTTCCTTCTCCTAGAAGGGCTGCCTTCCAAGGCTGACGAGCCCCACCTACCCAGCCTGCTCCCTCACGGCATGGATGATGGCGGCACCTCCTCCTCCTCCTTTTTATTCCCTTCAGATAAGGACGACGATGGCCCCACAGCATTCCTCCGCAGCGTACCTCTTCCTGACATCTGCGCTTCTGCCACATGGGCACAGCCGTCCACTTTCATTCGGCACTATAGACTCGATGTTCAGCAAAAGTCTGATGCAGCCTTTGGAGGTGCTGTTCTAGCCTCTGCCTTGGCGTGACAACTTGCCTCTGGTTAAGACAGCTTTCTAGTCACCCAGAGTGTGATTGACAGAGGCCATGAAAAAGAAGAAAGGTTACCCATCTGTAATTGTAGTTCTTCGAATGGCCCCCTGTGATTCACACATCCCACCTGACCTCCCCACTGTCACACCATACAGCTTAAAAATGCGGCGGTTGACACAACTGAAGGGAGAGTCTTGGTGCCAAGGTACTTATATGGGTGGAGGGGCTTATTCTAATGTGCTTTTTGCTACCACAGGAGCTCTAGAATCTTCCGATGAGGCTCCACACAGGCGCAGATCACCCAGAGTATGAATCACAGAGGTCCACTCGAAGAACTACAATTACAAGTGGGAAACCTGTCATTCTCTCTGAGCACAGAGTGGCATGGCTTTGACCCTCTGTGGTGAAGTCCTTTTAAGAAAGAGTAGGGAGCCTGCTCAAGTTTAAACCACAAGTGCGGTAGAGGACTGTTGTGCGTATATGGCTCTAGTCCTCTTCTACCCTTGTGGCCCTAATAGGGTTGTGCTGTATAATAAATCTGAATGCTTCTGACAAACAAAAGATTGCATACTCAAAGCCTTGGGATGCATTTTAAAACTTTATGCTGTATATTATTCTTTGTTAAGTATTGAACAGCATGGCAAATGAAGGTGGGGTAGTTCTGCCTCCTAATTGTTTTGTCTCTCTCTCTCTCTCTCTCTCTCTCTCTTCACTTTCTTAGTAGAAACATGGGATACAAACAAAATGAATGAGGAGAAACAGTGGAATGCGAGTTGGTGGAGGAGATATTTGTTATCATTTCCTTCTTCATCCCCTAATACTGCGCCCTTCTCCAAATCTGGCAAGAAAGGTGGATCTGGGGCTGCAAGGAGATTCCAGCAAACCCTTAGAAATAAATCCTGAGATAAAAAAGAAGCAATTTGCCAAGAAAGGAGGTACCTCTTCCTCCTCTGCATCAGGGCTCAAGAAATTCTTCACCACTCTGAGTCAGAGCACCAAGCAGAAACTGGGCAGATTTCGGTGCTACAGCATGGAGCAGATCTGTGCCCCAGAGTCACAAGCTGCAGCACCCATAGAAGAACCAGGCCCAGACACTACCAGTTCACCCAAAATGAAGAAATCTCCTTCCCTGCAGTCTTTGCGGCTGGTGAGTCCAAGCAGATATATCTGCTACAAGCCCCAGATCTGGCAGATCAGGATGAGACCAAGGCTACAAAAACCTTGATTAGATTATATAGGGCAGTAGTTTTTGAACTGTTCCAGGAAAACGCAAGTCTTTTGCGCTCATGGCAACAACTGAAAAGACCATTGGTGTACATCTACAGCTTGTTCCCCCGCACCCCCAACTTGAAACATATGGCCACAAAATATTCGGAAATGTCATAGGTCTGTTACCTTCAAACCATCTTGTAGCTGAACTTTTGGGAACCACCACATTTTTGCCTTAAGTTTTTTATTTAGCGATATTGCAACCAGTGCAGTGCATTTTAGGGTGGGCTGTAGAAAATAATTACTAAGACAGCAAGCTGGAAAACTTGCTGCTCTTTGTTTATCCAGTAAATGCTACCTGAGGTGTATAGGAGAGCTCATGGTGTGTGCTTCTCTTGTGTGTCTGTCAAGGTGTCCAGGGTTGCTTCTGTCCCAAAGCCAAGTGGAATGGAATTTTCTTGGAAATGTATTTGCTTTCCCCCCCTTACCTAGCACATTTAGCCATATGTTCTGTTGCAGTGCCCTTTGCTATATTTAATCACTGATTTATTTCACTGCAATGCCCAATGCTGACTGGAAATGTCCATTTTGCTTGTATGACCTGCTTCCTATAGCTGTTGAATATGGACTCCCAGACAGATGTTATTTGGAGGCTCCACTTGTTTTTGAACATCTTTTTTACCTTTTAAAGTTTCAGCAAGGACTGAGTACCTATGTTTCAGACCTACTCTGGCTTTTTGTGGCTGGAATTAAAGCTGGCATTTTTAATCCTTCATATGCTGTGGCCTAATCTTTCATGGTCTGGTTATATTGTGGCAGTTCTGTGTCCGCAGCACATGGTGGATGAAAAGTCTACAGTCCTTTAAAATCTGCTAAGCAAACCAAGTTGATCTTGCATTGTGAAGGTCTAGACACAAGTCAGTGAGAGTGTGTTGTTGCTTTTCAAGTTCTTTCACCCTCCAAAGGAATCAAAAGGATTAAAGGCTTTAAATTTTTGCACTCCTGGGGTTAAGTCACTCTCACTTTCAGTGCTTTCATTCTCCCACCAGGTGTCACCTTTCTGCCAACCAAGAAAAGCTTCTTCTGTTCAAAATCTCCATTCATTACTGGGAAAGAGTGACCGGTCCAGTCTCTACCTGTCTGGAGAGCAAAGGGATAATGAAATTGTTCCTTATAGGTAAACATCAGGAATCAAAGCATAATTAATCCCGGCTGTTCCCTCAAATTTATTGTTTTTATTGCTCCTGTCTTCTGAAAAACTGAATGCAATAGATTATGTTATGTCTGTGTCCGTTAAGATCTGTGATGGGACTCTCTCTTATAGCTGTTTATGTTATACTTCTGAATGCTGAAATGCATGCATGAGGCTACTTTTTGGAACAGGGTTATGTGTGTTTCAGCAATTGTCTTTTTCTGCAGTAAACCCAGAAATGCAAATCAGATGCTGCCCCAATTAGTGTTTCTGTACTAGGAAGGGAAAAACAGGTATTGTAAATGCACACTCACTATTCAGATGAATCAATCTGTTTCCTGTACCTGTCATTCTTTCATATGTTCACTTAGAAATGTTTTCTATCCTTCAGCCATATTAATGTGCAAAAAGGGAATTTAAAAAAAAAGAATCTTCAGTGCTCCCCCCGAAATCATCATAGGCCATCATAGGCATCCTTCAGTCTCGAGAGACTATGGTATCGTGCTCTGCATGGAGGACTTGGAACAGCATCTAGTGTGGCTTAGAAGGCCAATTCAAGAGTGACAATCCCTTCCACACTTAGGACAAATACAATCTGTACCCCGTCTAGCTCCCTGATTTTGCTGTTTTCGTGACTGCCTCTTTGCCTCAGCCTGCTGGGCGAGGGTCTCTTCAAATTGGGAGAGCCCGTGATGCACCGCATGCCTCCAGGCTGAACGCTCAGATGTCAGGGTTTCCCATCTGTTGAGATCCATTTCCAAGGCCTTCAAGTCCCACTTGCAGATATCCTTGTATCGCAGCTGTGGTCTCCTTCTGGGGCGATTTCCCTGCACTAATTCTCCATACAAGAGATCCTTTGGAATCCGACCATCAGCCATTCTTGCAACATGCCCGAGCCAACGTAGGCGTCGCTGTTTCAGTACTGTATACATGCTAAAAATTCCAGCTCGATCTAGGACTACTCTATTTGGAACTTTGTCCTGCCAGGTGATACCAAAAATGCATCGGAGGCAATGCATATGGAACGTGTTCAGCTTCCTCTCCTGCTGTGCATGAAGGGTCCAGGACTCACTGCAGTAAAGGAGTGTGGCCAGGACACAGGCTGTATAGACCTGGATCTTGGTGTATGCTGTCAGCTTCTTATTGAACCATACTCTCTTTGTGAGTCTTGAGAACATGGTAGCTACTTTGCCAATGCGTCTATCCAGCTCAACATCTAGGGAAAGAGTGTTCAGAGACTGTTGAGCCAAGGTACACAAATTCATGGACAACCTCCAATTCTTGCATGGAGATGGTAATAGAGGGATGTGAGTCCATGTCCTGGCCCATGACTTGTGTTTTCTTCAGGCTGATAGTTAGTCCAAAGTCTTGGCAGGCCTTGCTAAAACAATTCATGAGTTGTTGGAGGTCTTCGGCAGAGTGGGCAACAATGGCTGCATCATCAGCAAGAGGAAGTCCTGCATGCATTTCAGCTGAATTTTGGATTTTGCTCTCAATCTAGAGAGATTAAAGAGCTTTCCATCTGATCTAGTCCGGAGATAGACACCTTCTGTTGCAGTTCCAAAGGCATTTTATGACACTTTTTCCACATCCTTGTCCAATCATCAATATCTATATTATGTCCAAAGTTACTTGCCCATTTTACCATCATCTCCTTCACCCTCTCATCCTCTGAGTCATACTCCAGTAAGTATATGTACATTTTAATTATTTTCTTATCAGTATATATCCACAGTTTATCTACCTGAACTTCGCCCTCAAAGAAACCCACAATTTTATCTTTTTTTATATATCAATTCCAGTTTCAACATTGACCACCAATCAGTGGCCACACCTAATTCCTCTAGCTCTTGCTTATCTTTTATATTCTGTTCTTTAGTAAGTAATTCTTTATATGTGAGTAAAGCTCCTTTCTGGTTCAACACTTTCAACGTGAGTGCCTCTGTAGTAGCTACCCATAATGGAGTTTTCTTAAAAGTTTGTGTTTGGAATTTTTGCCATATTAAACATAACGCCTTCCTCAGAATGTGTCCTGCAAAATGTGATTGTTCTTTATATTTCCCATACCACATATATGCATGCCAACCCATTTTTTAGATCATGTCCCTCCAGTTTCAATAATCTTTGGTTTTCAAGAGTTATCCATTCTTTTATCCACATCATAGCACAACCTTGTAGTATAATAGCCAATTTGGTAGTCCTGAACCCCCTTTCTTTAAGGTCTTGTAATAGTCTGAATTTTATTCTTGGTTTCTTAGACTTCCATATAAATTTCAATGTCAGTCTATCCAGGTCCTTACAATATTTAAAATTCAATAGTATTAGCAAATTTTGAAATAGAAATAATAGTTGTGGTAGTATCATCATTTTTATTGTTGAGATTCTTCCCATCAAAGAGGCTTGCAACTTACTCCATTCTCCCAAATTTTTCTGAACTTCCTTCTGTATTGTAAAATAGTTTTCTTTCATTAAGTTACTTGAGTTTTTTTTGTGATGGTAACTCCTAAATATTTGTGTTTTTTGCACCACCTCAAAGTTAATTTTCCTCACCAATTTTTCTGCCTTTCTTTACATTTTAGTCATAAATTTTGTTTTTTGATAATTTGTTTTAAAACCGCCACCTGTCCAAATTCTTCTATGACTCTCAGTAATTCTTCCAAATTTTCTAGAGGATTTTCTAGTATTATTGTTAAATTATCCGCATATGCTTGCATCTTAAATTCTTCTCCTCTAATTTTAAGTCCTTTAATTCCCTCATTGTAAATCTGTCTGTTCAGGATTTACAATGTTAAAATAAAAAATAGGGTGAATAGCGGACACCACTGTCTTGTGCCTTGATCAAAGGCTTTGTTTCCAGTTAGATTACTGTTAATTTTAATCCTGGCTTCCTGTTTGGTATATATTGTGTTAATTGTTTGTAGAAATCTTCCTTCCATTCCCATTTCTTTAGGTGTAACAACATAAACTCCCAGTTGACATTATCAAAGGCTTTCTCTGCATCAAGAAAAATTAACATAATCTGCTTTGTCCTTATGTTTGACAATAGTTTCCTTTTAGGGATGAAACCTGTTTGATCTTTATGTATTATTTCTTCAAGTACCTCAATTAGCCTTGTTGCCCAGATGGTTATAAAAATCTTATAATCAACATTTAAGAGAGAGATTGGTCTGTAGCTCATAATTTGATTTTTCTCCATCCCCTCCTTATGTACGGTGGTACCTCACAAGACAATTACCCTGCAAAACGGTTTTTTTGCTAGACGTTGACTTTTTGCGATGGCTATCGCAATTCGCAAAATGGTTTTTCCTATGGGGGATTTCGCTGGACAGTGATTTGGTCCATGCTTTGCAGACCATTTTTTTGCAAGATGACGATTTTTACAGCTGATCGGCGGCTTCGCAAAATGGCTTCCCTATGGGCAATCTTCGCAAAACGGGTGTTTTCGGGATCTATGCTTGCAAGACAGCGATTTAAACAGCTGACTGGCGCTTTGCAAAATGGCTTCCCTATGGGCGATTTTCGCTGGACGATGACTATTTCCCCCCATTGGAATGCATTAAACGGGTTTCAATGCATTCCAATGGGAAAACGCTTTTCGCTAGATGATGTTTTCACAAGACAGTGATTTCAATGGAATGGATTAACATTGTCTAGCGAGGCACCACTGTATTAAGGAAATATATGCCTCTTTCCATGAGTTTGGAATTTCCCCTCTGATCTCAGTATCTTCAATTAGCTTCTTAAATCGTGGACTTAAATTTTCTTCAAATGCCTTGTAATATTCAGCTGGCAGTCCTCTCTGACAGCAGTTCTGACAGTGTTTTTGAAGGCCTAGATTAACGATGGGTTAGTGGGAATACTGACAAAATAAGTTTCAAATAAAGATAAAGGCAACAATACTATGATCCCAGGCACTTTTCCTTAGTAATAATCCCCACTAGGATTCATCCTAAGAGGCTTGCAAGACCATCACGAGCCTCACTCCCTGGTCACATGGTACTCTGGATGTTGCTTCCACTTTTTCATGCATTTCCCATAATTACATGGAATAGCTTTTATTAAAAACCAAGGCAAGGAAGCCAGATTTAGTGGCGGCTGACGGGTTATCACTGTAGTCCTTCAGGTCATGTAGAGTCTTTTCTTTCCTGGACTTCTTTCCCACATACATCATATTTCCCTCCTTCTTTGCAGAAAACCAGGGGCCCAGCAACAGCGTTCCCTCAGTGTGGAGGATATTGGCTCCCCCAACTTGGTGAGAACTGTTGGGCGGGTGGTGGAGGTCTTCCCAGATGGAACTAGCCAGTTGGAACTGCAGCGCACCCCACAAGGCGACTTTGGATTTCGTGTATCTTCAGGCAATGGCCGTCCCGATAGAGGTACCATGGCTGATTGCTTTAAATCTTGAACATTAGACATCAGTTCACCCTTTAAGCCGGTTGCTCCGTATCTCTGACATTTAAAAATATGGCCGCTTTGTTTGTTCTTTTGATACATATCAAGAAATTTTTTCTGATACTGCCTAACATTTATTTTGTTTATTTCATTTTATGAGTATGAAACTTTATGGCTTAAAACCATAGGCCATTCACAGTTCACTCCATTTTATAATACATGTTTAGTTTTTGAACCTAAGGGGCACTTGCAATATTTACTTTAACTCAAAGGTTTTATACATATTTAAAATTTCAGTGGAAATTCAAAGTAGTTGAACCACCAAATTCTCACTGACTCAATGGGCTTGCTGTAGATGTGACTTACTACTGGATTTCAGTCTAGATATTATATATATTATATACTGGATTTCAACCTAGATATTCTCTCTCTCTTACTCTCTCTCTCTCTCTCTCTCCATTGTCTTAAAGAGCCAGTCAAGAAACTGCCTGCAGCTGACTCTAAAGCAATGGCTTCAGCTGCAGGAACTTTCTCAACCAGCCCTTTAACTGTTTTTTAACTGAAGCAGTGCATTGGTGATAGTCCTTATAAAGGTTTTTTTTAAATCACTTTCTCTGCCTCTCTGCCAAGGAGCAGAGGAAGTTATTAATTTGCCAATATCATGAAGAGGCTTGCTTAATTAACCTCCTTAATGCTATTGGCAGAAGCAATTTCCATGCAAACTATTGAGCTTGATTAGATCTCTTTAATCAAGCCCAACAATTTCAGAGTGGCCTACACTAGCTTGTTCCCTGCTACTAGTGTAGTTGCACCCCTAGACCCATTCCAAGGGGCTAACCATGCATTCCAAATCCATTTAACCTTTATGTACTACAACAAGGTACGTACATTAATTCCTCAGAGCTGTCTGAACATAGAGAACTAGACTTACCATGTAGCCATTTCTACACCATTCTTACCTGCAGAGTAGTAAATAATGTACCCAGATTTCAGTCCCTTATCGTGTGCAGCTTTTTTCCATTAAAAAGGATGGCTGGGACAAAAAGATCCCAACAAATCTTTTTGTTTTTCCTACTAGGTTACATTTTTTAGGCTTAGCCAGTGTAATATATTGGATCAAAAAATGGCATGTAACAATTTTTGACAAGTCTTGACGCAGCAAAGCATGAATGACATGTTGTGGTTGTGAGTAGTCTGGCCCTGTTTGGAGGAAATTAAAACTTCTTTAAGGAAGGTTATTGGAATTAATTAATTTGAGAAAATATCTTACAGTACAAGAAAAGGCTGCTTATATTATTTTATAAGATTCTCTTATTACCTTTATTTTACCTGGTGTTTTCTGGATCTAGGTATGTTCCCACTGCTGCTTGTATCTTTTTTAATTCCACAAAAAAAATCCATTAAGAAAGGAAAGGTATAAATAACTGCACAATGCCTTTTGGTTGGTATTGCTAAGAGCTGTCTGGCCAAAAGCACCTGATAGCCCTGCATGCTGTCCTTGAGCTTTTCTACCTCCCTAACACAAGTCAGGCACCACACTAGAACCAGACACGCCTTAATGGTTTTCAAACCATGGTTCGTGCTAATGATGGTTCAGTGTTCTAAATACCTCAGAAATTTGAATGCTAAGTAGGTGAAGAATAAAAGCAGATAAGCAGCTCTAAAGTATGGCTTGTCTGTATGTTTGGAAGCTTAGTCTATTACCTGGTGTGGAGTCTGAATTGTGCTCATATTAATTGTTTTGTACTTTCAGCCTGACTGTCGTTTGGTGCAAAGGCAGTTGAAATATTCCCCCTAATAGTGGTCTCAGTGTGTGGGTGCAATCCTTAGTGCCCAAACCACCCTTTTTTTGAGAGAGATCTTTACTTACAACACTGAAATGGATTGAGATTTTTGAACTTACTCAGAGATCTTGTTATGCAAAAATCTCCTTGTACGTCTGTTGAAAGTGAGGACTATCAAAAGTAGGTCAGATAGTAGCAGTAACTGAACACAGATGTCCTTTTCCCAGGCAGGTTCCTGGGAGTAATGTAGTATTTGTGATTAAGGCAACAAATGTTTGTCCCTGATCCTTAAGCACTCTGCTTCCAGGAATGTAATATTTTCACTGCAGTGTCCTATGCGTCAAAGACACTTGACTCCACCTTAGACAATTTCAGTGATGAGCTGCAGCAGAGCCAGACCAGACCAGCTCAATTTCTTCACTTTTCTCCCTGAAGTTTTTTGTCCTATCCAGGAAGGAGAATCTTCCCATGATCAGGCAGACACAATTCTTCCCAGATGTTATCTTTCACTTCTTGTCTGTAATGCTGATTCAGCTGCATGCTAATTCACAATTTGCTTTCTTATGCCCAAGTATAAATATCAGAAAATTGTGTGTGTGTGTGTGTGTGTGTGTGTGTGTGTGTGTGTGTGTGTGTGTGTAAGGGAGAGAGAGAGTCGTGTGTGTGTGTGTGTAAGGGAGAGAGATCTTCAGTCTTCAGCACAGGAACGAGGGAAGATTTCAACTCAGCTCTTACTGATAGAAACCCCATTGAGATAAAAATTGCAGCTACAGGAGAGTCCTGGATCCAGCAGACTATGCTATCTATAATCTACACTTGTCACTATCCATGGGCTTGGAACCCATCCCCCATGGATACAGGGATCCTCCTGTACAGTAAAATGTGATTACAGCAGATAAAAAAATAAATGTTGAGGACAGATTCCAATTTTGCATTTTTCCCCCCAAAGGAAACACAGACTTTTCCTTAGCCTCAAGAATTCTGGAAATGTTCCATGTTATAACATAGACTTCTTCTCTCCCCACCCCCTTCTTTCACAGGCATCTACGTCCAGGAGATGGCAGATGCCAGCACGGCTAAACTGTACGCTGGGCTTCTAAGAGTTGGGGATGAGATACTGGAAGTGAATGGTGCCAAAGTTGCTGGCCTGGGCCTGGCCCAGATCGATGAACTTCTCTTGTGGGCAGACACTCTCTCAGTGAGAGTGCTGAGGCAGAGACCTGTTCGATGACAGCAGAGAAGTGCTGGGTGTTCACAAGTGCTTGCTTGAGTGTGAAGATTTTCAATTGAGCAATACAAGAAGCCTCTGGTGCCTACAGCGCCTGCTTTGGACTTGGAACAGAGCCTAATTCACATCTCCATACCAATGCCTTTTTGACTGGGAGGTGTGGGCAATTGCATGGCCCCACCCTCTTGGTTATGCTGAAACACAAGCTGGGTGTGTGCTAAATACTTAACCGGGGGGGGGGGTTGACAGGTAATATGGGCCTGTCATTTTGAGATATGTTCCTGCACATGTGGGATAAAGTGACAGGGACAGCAGTTAACAAACTTGTGGTTAGTAAATTTTATCTCCATCCTTCCAGCATACATTCACACTTAAAATGTGAAAGATGCTGGGTTGTCTTACATTAATATTCTCGACATAATATGCTGTTGGATGCTTAAAGGCTTCTGAAAGATAATTAAGCCACAGGTTTTTTTGCATTGGTCTTCATTAAATCACATCTCTTCTACTCCATCTGTTCAACATGTAGACATAAAATGTGCATAGATAACCATAAACAGATAGCCTTCTCAGGAAGCTCCTCAGAATTAAGAAGTCATTCACTCTTGTTTTGGGTAACATCTTTTGATGAAATAGAATGTTGGTCGGACTGGGCTTCCCTTGGCCAGCTCCGAATTGCACTTGGGCTAACAATGGGCATGTCCGTGCACTGCAAATGAAATCTTTCCGAACTATATAAGAGTGTGTCTTTTTAGGGACTAAAGATCCCTATTAGAGATTTCTCATTCTCTCCCAACTATAACTCCCACAGTAAGATCAGGAACTTACAGTTCTTCTAAGAGGCTTCAAGGTTATTTCCAGAAAGCTATTGAAGTTTAAATCACTTTCAACAGTATTATGTGGTGACTCCATTTTTGGAGGTACTGCAAATCCAATCTAGGTTTTAGTCTTGAGTTCACAAAAGCTATCCAAGGAGCCTATATAGGTTCAGTACTTTCAAAAGATGCAGACTACAACCCAGTATCTCCAAAACTGGAGTCACTGGTCAACACTGACTTTCAAATCAATTTATTTTGCTAAACTGCTTTGAGGCAAACTCTCCCCTGCCACAATAAAGCCCAAGGCTGCTGTGGTGAGGAACAGCATTTCACTGTCTGGAATAAAACAAAGGTATTGTGATTTTTCCCCAATATAGGCAGGTAAAAATGGAGGATTTATGGCTTTTCCAGATTTCAGTTGCCTGGCTTTATGCTGCCTTTAGGGAACCTTGCTCTAAGGCAGGGATGGCGAACCTATGGCACACATGCCACAGCTGGCACACAGAGCCCTCTCTGTTGGCACACGAGCCATAATTCACCATACAGAAATACTTACCCGTCCTCCGATCCCGGATTTCACCACTGTTCTCTGCTGGTGCAGTGGTCCAGTTGAGGAGTGCAATGGCGAACATTACTGGTCTACCAATGGGGGATTGGAGGACCAGAAAGTACTTATTTGTTAATACCACCTATAGGGGGAAAAACCAAAACAAAAAACCCACCAAGCATTTAACCCTTGCAGTGCAGGAGCAGTTATTTTTTCTAAACTAAAACCTCAGCATTCGGGCTTTAATTGCAGCACTGGCACTTTGAAATAAATAAGTTGATTTTGTATTTCAGTTTGGGCACTGGGGCTCAAAAAGGTTCACCATCACTGCTCTAAGGTCTCCAGGCAGTGTTATCAGCCTGCCATCAAATGTTAAAAACCAGCCTGGCTCTCATATTCTATCCGCACATGACAATAACCTTGTTCTCATGAAATGGTAAATTGGCATGTGACAGGTGCCATTTCATGAAAGATGGGGTTCACAGCAAATGTTCCCCCGTACAGAATGATTTACAATGTGTAGAAAACTAGCATGTTGGTTAGAAAGGTAGTCTGGAAATTTTCTTCCTAGCATACTAGTTTCACCATTAAACTTTTAAATCAGTTCTGACTTATGGCCACCTTTTTCAGGGTTACAGTGGTGCCTCGCTAGACAGTTGCCCCTCATGACAGTTTTTTCGCTAGACATTGGCTTTTTGCGATTGCTATAGTGATTCTCAAAACAGTGATTCCTATGAGGGAATTTCGCTGGACAATGTTTGGTCTCTGCTTCACAAACCGATTTTCGCTAAACGATTTTGACAGCTGCCTCTGCGCTCGCAAACAGGCGTTTCTGGGACCTAAGCTTCGCAAGACAGCGATTTAAACAGCAGATCAACGGTTCGCAAAGCGGCTTTCCTATGGCCAATCTTCACTAATGACAATTCTTTCCCACTGGAACGCATTAAACAGGTTTCAGTGCATTCCAGTGGGGAAATGATTTCGCTAAACAGCGATTTCAGTGGAACAGATTACCATCGTCTAGCGAGGCAGCACTTATCTGGGTAGGGAGTACTCAGAAGTGTTTTGCCCTTCTCTTCTTCTGTGTCCTGGGACTGCAGCTTGATCAAGCCCACATAAGGCTAGCTCTTCCTGGATGTACAGTGGGGAACTGAACTCTTAATCTCTGGCTCCTCCCCCAGGTATCTAACACACTGAGATATCCAGCCAGCAGTTTTCACCATAGGGATTTCTTTTCTTTTCCTTTTGTTTTATTTTTCCTTTCTTTTTATGGAGAAGCATTTAGTTATGGAAGTCCCTCCTGCAAGTCTGAAATGGTACAGACCAGGGGAATGGTTGCTGTCAGTAGAATTACGTCTGAATTTGTTGACATGGTAAAGATGCATGCTCTTCTTTGTTGTCCTTGTCTTGGAGCTATCATGCTTTCTCGTGAGCCCTCAAAGCCAGAGTCACTCCTGAGCCTTGAAGCCAAGAACTGATTTTGACAGGAGAGGTTTCTGTTATGACACATGCTGTGTATGTAGCCCTACCCTGCAGACACAGGCTGTTCTTGGCAACACTGAAAAGCCTTTCTACCTTGGTTCACTGTTTTACTGATTAAATTATTTTAAAAACAACCTCAAGTCATTGTGAATTAACAGAAAGTATTCAGTGAAGTCACTGGTTGCAGTACCAGGGAAACGTGAAAAATTCTATAATTCAAGGCGTCTGCCTCAGATATTATGGTGCACAAGAACAGTGGTGCTCAAACCTGGGTCCCCATATGTTCTTGGATTTGGGTCCCCAGAAATCCTGCCCAGCAGAAAGAATGGTGAAGGCTTCTGGGAGTTTTGATCCAAGAACATCTGGGGACCCCAGTTTGAGAACCACTGCACTAGAGTACAAATGATGTCAAATTGCCTTTCTCTCCTCCTGCTATGATAGCATTATACATGTACCTTATGGGTTTCATGTGTGCACCCAGTACCCCCACTCCCAAATTTAAAAAAATGCTCAGAAGCCGCCGCCCCCTTGTGCCCTTTAAGAGGTGTGAGGACAATTTGGCTGTGTTACTTTATCAAATTAAAAAGAAAAAAGAGACCTGAATGGAAGCATTGATGGTTGTAAAGTTGCCCTTGCTGCTGTCTCCAACTGGCTCTTCAACCCACCTCATCCTTCTCCAAAAAGTAGTGGAGTTTGAGAAGCAATTTGGTAGGCAGATTCACTACTACACCAAAGCAAAGGGAGCACATTGGAAATGCAAAGAAAACAAAGGAAAAAGCAAGGGAAGCATGCAAGACCCATTGGAAATGGGAGAAAAAAAACACACACCCAAGGACCCATCGGAAATGGGAAAAAACACTCCAAAAAGTAACCAACCCCCCCAAGACCCATCAGAAATTGGGGGGGAAACCCAAACAAACCCCCCAAGACCCATCACAGCACAGAAACATAACCCCCCCAGTCCAAAACCATGCTGCAAAGCCCACCCAGAACAGTTTTTTAAAAGCAGAAAGCAGCACCTTACCTTACCAGACAGCCTCTTCTGATCACACACTCTCTAATTGCTGGGGCAAAAGAGCTACAAAGAAGCAGCCTTGTCGCCACCTACAGTTAGAAATTTGAATTTCCCTCCTTTCCCCCGCCTTTTTGTGTTTGTAACTGGAAGCTCCAGCCACAAGTCAAAGCAAAATTTTGCGGCTGGAGCTGGTCATAACTCAAAATGGTCATATGTCAGGACATTCATAAGTTGAGGCACCACTGTACTAGTGTAGTTTAACAGACTATCTTGGGAATAACAGAGCAGGATACTGCTGATTCAGTTTTATAGTGGAAAAGTCTGACAACCTTGAATCATGGCCTACCTGAATGACAGAGCCAAGTTTGTTTTTCTCTTTCACCTTTTGAAAGTTTTGCGATGAAGGGGCTGCAGGCTTAGAATTTACAACTGCCTCACATTGTCATCAAAGGACAATCCAGTATTCTTCCAAAGAGGTCTGTGCATTTAGACTGTTTAAAGTTATCCTAAATAATTGTAGTTTTTGAGTGAAGCTGTGTACAGTGGTGCCCCGTATAGCGACGATAATCCGTTCCGAAAAAATCATCGCTATACAGATTCATTGCTATGTGGGGCAAAAAAACTCATAGGAACGCATTAAAACATGTTTAATGCGTTCCTATG